ATAAGCTGCTTGTTTTGCAGAGTGAAGAAGATCATTAATTCTAGGAAATGGATAGCGATCCGGGATTGTTTTGGCATTTAGCTTGCGATAATTGACGCAAAGCCGTATATTACCGTCCTTTTTGGGGATCATCACAACGAGCGCAGCATATGGCGATTCGCTCTCTTCAATGATACCTTCATCGAGTAGGGGGTCTATTTCGACTTTGAGTGCGGCTCTTTTTCGTGGTGACAACCTGTAAAGTGGGACAGCAATCGGAATATCGTCGCTGAGGTTAATAGCGTGTTCTGCAAATGGAGTAGCTTCTCGTTTCGAAATGAAAACATCAGCATTCTTGTTCAACAACTTGTTGACACGCTCACGTTCGGTTTCGTTCAGCGATATTCCTTCTTCCGGACGAAGTTCTGAGATGGAAGATTGTTCAAAAAAATGTTTATAAAGTTTTCTACCGGCGACACTACACTTTGCACCCTTGTCGACAAACGCGAGTCCACTTTTCCTTTTTTTTAATTTTTAATGGGCAACATTGGCCGAGACGCACTTCCTCCGTTATCGGCAATTAGTATGGACACAGTGAATAACGATTGTTTTATTAATACTTTGCCATTATAATGGCCCCTACTATTTTTAAGTTTTGGTTCCTTAATACAGCATACTATGTCCTCTTTGAAATAATATAAAATATCAGCTTTAATCGGCCATTTCCATGAACCCAAACCTGCATTTGTCATGCTTGAGATTTCAGCTCCAAGTGGATCACTTTTCAAGACAACTCCTGAAAATAAAAGAATACAAGATTAATAAAATGAGAAAAAATAAACAGACGTTACTCAGGTGATTACCACATAAATCCAGTGTTACAGGTGTTACTCACCAGGATAATAATTTTCTTTATATTTTACGATTACAAACTTCCCGTTTTCTACGATTAAATCTTCATTTTCCTCCAAATCTACTTCTTCATCTTCCTCATAGACTATACCTACTGTCAGAGTCACTCTTTATAGCAAGCCAAATATTATAAAGATCAGTTGATTTAATATCTCCTTCCCATTCATGACCATTTTCATAGGTTTCGTTAAATTATTTGAGAGTTATTTCTGATTTTTTTGCCGCAACCAACAATACCAATATCGCTAACTGCTAAATTAAATATGTTATTTCTTTGAAATTAGAAATCAAAGTAAGTTGGATAGATTTGCCAGAAATGTCAGATTGACAGACAACCTATATTTAATCAAAATTCAATAAATAAATTAACAAGTTAAGTTAATGTAAAAGGTGTTTGAAGTGTCTACCATCGGCTTCTAAACATGCGCCTAGTCGGTTGGTAAACGATAACAAAACATGTCGCATCGTTTAAGAGATGATTTTTTTGTCTTAATGTCAAAGAGACAAGGCTAATAACAGATATCGTGGATTCAGTTATAATTAATTTCATAATTTAAAATCAACAGATTGTTGCAATATGTATAATGGGTTGCAGCAAAAAAAAATCAGAAATAACCCTCTCGTGAGTAACCCTGTAGTGAAACAAATTCAAAAATCACTATTGTACTGAACCAATGATATGTTAAACCTCCCTTCTTTTTTCCCCTGCTGATAATCAACTCACGTGACAGACAAGTGTCAAATTTATAAAATTTGGATTCAATTTATTCCTTTAATAGATGTAGAATAGTATATTAAAGTACAAGTTGCAGAAGAAATTTGAAATTGCGAAACGAGCCGTGTAGCGGCGAGTTGAGGAACAAATGAGTGCTTGAAGAACCTTCTGCAACAAGTGCTTTATACTATTTTTTTCTGTTTTGCCGCTTTATATCATTTTATAAATTAAAAGACGAAAATTAAAAAACAAAAAATTAGAGAATTTTGCGACGGTTAGCAACATTTACGTGGAATAATTTTAGGCGGGTGTGAAAAATAAAAATAATTCTTATTTTCACATTTGGAAATGAATAGTGAAGAATGTCCGTCACTAAAATTAAATTAACGCCAACGACTTATTAAAGCACTCAAATGACCTCATTTGCGTGCTGGAATAGACTTATTCTAAACGCAATATTGGAACCTGAAATTATTAAAAAGTGATTACTCCCTGGAAATAATTATGATGTAGATTAATCCAATTACGGGGACAGGATAAATAAAATAAAATGCTTCAATCGACTATTTTCGTTCCCTATTCAACATCATCAGAATCGTTTAAACAGAGTTAAGATAGATAATTAAAATATTGTTCGGATATTATACGCTGAGGTTACAAGACAAGACAAAACAAGTCTGCTGGGTCGTAGGAACAATTTTAAGTATTACACTGGAATAAAGTGTTCTTTTCTTTCTTGGTGGTATATAGTATGTAACCTCCATCTGTATAAAGAAAAAGATAAACTTATCTCCCTTTAATTCAGATAACTATTATTTTCTAAGTATATTGTTTTGTTCTTTTAATACATTTTTTTATTACCTTAAAATGTTTTACAAACATTATTTGTATCTGTTTTCATATTCGGTGCGAAGCTTATTGGTGAGTTGACACCCTCTTTGGGATGGTAATACCACATGCTTTGTATCACCACCATTTTGTAACCTAATGTCTTTTCCAATGATTTTTATAGATTACTCCCCAGGCTTTTGGAAATCTCTAGCCATGATTCCTAGTATAAGTAGTAATTTTGCCGTCACAATCGCGGTCAAGGACGGTCAAGTAAAGTTTGGGAAATCGTAGAAGGATATCGCTGGAAGAGATGTGCAGAGACGAGAACAGCTGGTCGCGGACGAATCTATGTATAAATATAGGGGAGTTGAAAATATTTTAACTTTGTTACTTTGTTAATAAATAACATCTTGAAAGCAATTGTTTTTTATAAATTGCAAAACTTACGTACCATTCAAGGACATTTTTATCAGAACGAAAAATCCATAATATGTAGGTACCTAACAAAAAAATTTTTTTTCACGTCCGTCAAATGAAGTGTTAAATTTTTCATTAATTTTTGTAGATACATTTCGCACAGGAAACGTAAAAAAAATGCCACAGCGTTTATTTTTTTTATTCATTGAATGAAAAAAAGGGTCGTAGCCTGTTAATAATAATAATTATTATTATTTACTTTAAAGTTTACATTCCAACAAACACCCTTACTCAATAAAACGGGATTACATTAAAAATGTAAATAATACATAGTCACATGTAATGCGTAAGTCAACAGACAACACATAAAAAATATTACAAACAAGTTACATACATAAAATTTGTGATACTTCGTCTATGTTATAATATAATGGAGACTTTAACAAAGTTTCTTTTATAAGTTTAAAAAAGGCAGATTCGGGAAGAGTAGTGATTTGCTTTGAAAGTAAGTTGAAAAAATTTCATCCATAGTAATTTGTACTAATACGGCTTATATTTATACGGGATTTGTTAACGCAAAATGTTTATACATTTACTATGACTCTTGACCTCTGTCAAATACTAAAATGCATTAATTATTCAATTTAGTTCTTACTATAGTTTTTTTGCATTAGTAAATTGTACATTTAAATTGTACATTAAAATAAAAAGCTGTTTTTAAAGTAGATAGTTTATGATTTTTATTTCCGGAAGTAAAAATTTTTTTGTATGCAAAATGTTTGATATCGTTATTAACAGGGGCTTCTTCTGAATGTTAAATTTGAAAAATTAATTATAATAAGAAAGTGTTTCTTAATATGTTTATATTTTTAATAAACGAATTTATTCGTTACCTAAAATAAAAGTGGGGCATCGTAAGAATTTTTATATTTAATATCTCAGTCAATGAATATACGGAAAAAATGCAACTCTACAATTCTTTTTTTACCACAGAATGGTTGTGTGTTACGCCACTGCTCAAGTTTCCCCACTACACTAAGTACACATTGGCTCCGCCTATCGATATCCTTCTGCCATTTCTTGACCTTTACCTATTTGGCATTACAACAATTTATGGATCATTTGAGATTGTATATTATTCAGTAATTATGTCAGATATTAATGATTTAATGAGTTTAACATAATCTTGAATATTTTACTTTGATGTTCTTTAATGAGTTTCCGATATTTTTACTTACAAAATATTTAGAATTACAGTACAGTGAAGAGGTTTTAATACACATCATGATGGCCGAATTTAATGGTAACAACTAGATCTAGATCAAACTAAATTATAAATTCATTTAATTTCAGATCCTTTTATCATCTTGAGAAAGATATTTATGATTAATGTCATCAATTACAAAATTACAAAAATTTTTAATGTTTTGCTTATTATAACGTACTCACTGGCTCACTGTTTACAGATATACTACATGTATAAAAAATTTACCATAAACCTCTTAATTAGATATAGTCCAGTAACAATATATATCGTATTTGTAAGTAAAATCGAAGTATTGTCTTCAGTGTAATGACTACTTTTTTTGAGATTATTGTTGGAACAGTTTTTGTTGTGGTTTTCGAAAAAAGAATTTTCGAAAACTTAACATTTCTTGATAAAATTTGTTGGCCACTTGGTATTATAAAAAGGGAGGCTCAAATCAAGCTCGAGAGAAAATGTCAGATCATAAACATTTGTATATCATGCATTCTGCTTCTTCTTTTATGTTCTGTTATTGTCAACTATCCATATTTTGGAAATCAGAGAGATTATGTCATTTGTATTCAAGTTTTTGAAGAATATTTTGGCGATTGGTCGTTTATTCCTTACTATTGTTATTTCATAGGAATTCCATTTTTATCTTATTGTTATTTTAAAATTTGCTTTATTTTTGTTTATGGAATTTTAGAAGTACAGTTACAATTCTTCCTACTTGAAGAATATTTGTTTGAAACATATCAAGTGGATTTTTTGAAACATGGTAAAAATTTACATGATATTAGATATCAAGAAAAAATTGGAAAATCATTACGTCTTTGTATTACACACCACATTGCCTTAAAAAAGTATTAAATTTCTCATTTTAATAAAAGCAATAATTTGAAATAAATTATTTATAGATTGGTGAAAATGATTTTGAATCTTACACTAATAGCTATGCCGTTTTTTCTGCTACTTGGGGTTTTTCTTCTTATTAGTTGTTTTGCGTTCATCATAAATGTAAGTTTATTACAAATATTAAAAATTAAAAAAAAAATAAATTGTAGTTTACGGACACTATGAGCAACATTTTAAAAATACGAATATTAATGTTAGTTGCATGTACTTTGTGTATCAGCATTTTGTTATGTTGGATTGGTCAACAACTGATAGATGTGGTATGTAACAAGATTAACTTTTTTGTGCATGCGTTATTAGTTATTTTTCAATAATTTCATTATTTTAGACGAACGATATTTTCCTTACTTTGGTTGGAGCACCTTGGTATTTTTGGAATATTAATAACATCAAAATTCTCTTAATGTTTATAATGAATTGTATTAAAAATGAAAATATTGTTTTGGCTGGGATTTGTGTAGATTACAAACTTATTGTTACGGTAAGTGCATCTTGACTTGTATTTTTACGTTAATATTTATTTCAGGTCTTACGAATCTCCGCCTCATATGCTCTAGTTTTGATCAAGCTTCGCAAAAGTAGTCTCGTTTGAAACAACCTATAATAAATAGTAGATTTTTTAACTTGTAATGAATAAAGGTGGTTTACTATCGAGTGAAAACAGATTGATTTACGAAAGTTATCTCGAGATAGCTAACCACTTTTCTTACGAGTTGAATATGCAATTTTTTTGTATCCTTTACGAAAAACGTGGAAAACTTAAGAATATTTTAACAAAAATTGTTTTTCTTCGATCTTCAACATAGTTGCATATTGTATTAACGCATGTTAAATCTCATATTTATTTGTTTGTATGGTTGTGTTGCTAACGAGTTTTCATCGGCAAATCCTGTCGGACTTGCAAATGTTTTGTAGAAGTAGTCGTTGGGACAGCCGCTCGCCTCTCATTTATAACTCATATTCAATTCAAAATTTAAAGTTGATCTTACATATAAATCAGTATTCTTCTTCTTCTTGGATCTTCTTGGTATGGAAACGATGAACAAAAACACGATTAGCCCGTCACACCAAACTTTTATTTTAATAGCACAACGCGTTTCGACCACAAAGTGGTCATCCTCAGGTGAGAATAAAACTAACTAATTTAACAATGGTAATGCCTTATATACTAATTTTCCGACTTTCACTTTCCCTACCC